GGGGGGGGGGGGGGGCAGGCGGGAAGAGGCGTGCCGGGAGTGTCGGGTGATCGGTGGCCGCCAGCAGCCGGCGATGCTCCTCATGAGAACTGCTTTCATCAGCGAAGCCACCCTGCTCTGGTCGTGCACCCGCTACCCTTGCCAAGTGCGCCCCTCGGCCAGGGTGCAAGAAGGTGCAAGTTGCGCCCCAGGGCGGCAGGCCTGACCTCACCTTGCGCCCCACACCGCATGTGCCCCATAACCCATGCGCCATGCCCCATCCCACTAGCCCCTTCCCCAAAGCCTCCAGCCACGATCACGTCCCCCCGTCACGCCATGAGTGCCCAAACCATCCAAACCCTTGCATTGCCGCCCTCCCTTCACGCCATGACCACCCCCCCAAAAAAAACCATAGCCGTTGCGCCCACCGCAGCCCCTTGGCATCCAGGATGTCGTAATCCAGCCGCCGCAGCCCCGCCAGCAGCCCCTGGAACGACGCCGCAATGGCGCCGACGCTCTTCTCCATCTCAGCGCCCCGCGCGCCGCCAAACACCGGCAGCACCAGCCCCCGGCCGACCGCCGCCGCAGCAGACTCCGGCGCCGCCGCCGCGCTGCCGCCGCCGCCGGCGTCCCGGTCGGGCGCGCCCTCCGCCGCGCCGGCGGCCTGGTCGGCGCCGGCCGCGGCCGAGGGGGGCGCGGCCACAGGGACGAACTGCAGCTGCGCCTCGCAGACCTCTGACAGGTTGCGGCAGCGCTGCAGGAACGCCTCCACCACGGGGAATACAGGCGTCACATCGATGTCGTCCCAGCTCCGCGCCGCCGGCAGCGCGCGCGAGACGGCGGCGGCCGTCCGGTCGTAGCAGCCCCGCACCGCCTCGCACGCCGCGATGCACTCGGCGAGCGCCGCGACCGCCGCCCGCACGCCCGCCTCGCCGCGGGCCACGAGCGGGCTGCACGCGCGGACGGCGGCGGCGCAGCGCGCAACGACCTCCGCGGCGATGCGGCGCAGCAGGCCGACCAGGCGCGCGGGCGTGTTGTAGTGGCCGCTCAGCGACCAGACGATGCGCACGCAGCTCAGCACCCGCGGCAGCAGCGCCGGCACCTGCGCCGGCGCCGCCGCCACGAGCTCGGCGCAGGGCGCCTCGAGGCAGGAGAGAAACTTCACATTGTCGCGCGCCGCCTCGGCCTCGCGCGCGATCGCGCCGCGCTGCGCCTCGAAATCGGCCAGGTAGCCGCTGCCGCAGGCGACCAGGACGGCCGCCACGTCCCGCACCTCCCTGGAGGCCAGCTGCGCGTCCAAGCCGCCCAGGTCATCCACGCGCTGCCGCCAGAACGCGATTTCCGCCAGGGGCCCGCCGTTCCCGGGGCCGCCGCCACCGCCGCCGTCCCCGCCGAGGGGCCCGCCGGCCGCGGCGTCGAGCTGCTCCGCCTTCCGCAGCGCACCCCGCACCTGGCGCGTCCAGTGGATCACCGTCGTCTCCAGGCGCTGAGTCAGCGCGCGGTCGCGCGCGGCCTCGCCGGGCGGGCGGCCCGCGAGGCCGTCGCCGGCGGGGATGTACAGGACCGTGCGGCCGCCGGCGGCATGGACGGCCTCTGTCAGGCTGGCCAAGAAGCGGTGGGTCGTGGACAGGAACTCGCGCCGCGCGCTCTCCGGCCACCGCCCGTCCGGCGCAGACAGCTGCGGCAGAAACACCCCGCTCAGCAGCTGCAGCAGCGCCGCCTGCGGGCCCGCAGGCAGCGCCGCCCGTCCCGCGCCCGGCCCCGCCGCTGCACCGCCGGCGTCCCTGCCAGCGGCAGCACCGCCGCCGTTCGCCGCGACCGCGGTGTCGGCGTCCGCCGCGGGCCCCGCCATCGCGGCCCGCAGCAGGCCAAAGTGGACGCATGTGTCCACGTTGGCACGCGTCACGAAGCGGCCGCCGTCCTTCACAAAGTATGCGGCGCGGTGGAAGGCCTTGGGCGCCTCCGCTGTCAGGCTGAACCCGGTGTCCTGGGGCCTCCACACGACCGCGAACATGCGGTTGGACTGCGGCGATCGGCGGCGTGGCAGTGTCTTAACAAGAAATTATGTTTAGATAGCTTGCCATGCAAGTGCATCCTCGGGTGCATCCTCGGGTGTGTGCTGTATCACATCATGCCTGCAGGCAAGGTGTAAACCATCTTGCAACATGCTTAGCCATGCAGCCTGCATGGACTGCCACACTTGACAAGCCGCGAGCGGCCCAACACCTGCCTTCGTCTGCGATTCCACCACCACCCCTCTAGACAAAGCACCCTTGCTTAACACTGACAGTGCTCTGCCCCTGTGGGCATTGGCCGCACCTTAAGGCTTGTGAAAAAGGCGGACACCTGCGGTAGGTGGGTTGCATCGTCCCATGCGGCCTCCAGCCACTCCCGCTGCTCCGACGCACCGGCCCCCCCGAGCGGGCACGCCTGCATGGGCAGCCGGCGGGAGCCCGCAGGCCGCAGAGCGGTGAGCGCGCGAACCTGGCATGGTGCTCGCTGCTTGTGGCGTCTGCATGCATTGTAGGGATTGCATGCATGCTGATGCCGGCACCCTGCGCGGCCGCAAGCTTCGCCCTCCAGCCGCAACAGGCCCTGTTAGGCTGCGCTGCTCGTCTCAAGCGTCACTGCGATGACCGTGCGCAGATCACGTCCTTGAGATCCACATGCTTATCCACACTTACAAGCTGCAGCTTGGCACGTAGCCACGCCAGGCAGGCTTCGTCCACGGGGGCATTGGCGCGCTGTACATATGGGTCGCAAGTGCAGGCGTGGCGGCGGCAGGTGGCACATGCAGGTGTGCACATTAGCAGCGGCGTTTTGGCGCTGGTTGCAAGCGGCCATGGTTGAGTAGTTTAGCCAGACCTCACCTCGAGATCGACTTCATGAGTATCGGCAGCGGCCCGCACATCTGTTTCAGCGCGCATGGCGCCAGGCCAGCCTCAAATGACAAAGACGATGAGTGCAGATCACCGGCTGACTCTAACCCGGCAATCTAGCTATTCATGGCAATCGAAATTTCATTCATAACATATGCATACTTCCGCAGGTCTTGCGATATTGGGCAATTGAGATCGCCGCGTGCAGGAGCGCGGCCCAACGTTTGAAAATGCCGTATGAATGAACATAACCAGAAACCAATGAAGATCATATGCCGCATGAATTCGACACAGCCACCGTGCAGATGACGGCCGGTGTGAAGTGACTCCCATCCCGCATGTTTGACCTGGTTGGACCTACGGTATGCCATAATCATATGCAAGCCAGAGCTCTGGCCGGCCAGCACTTATTGCGAGGTCAACAATTGGTTTCCTTGGACCTGCCTTGCACCTCTGCATGAATTCTGCAGTCGCATGCTTGCCACATCCATCAGATTCTTAGGTGCCACAGTGCAGCACATGGCAACATGCGCAGAGAGCTGCGGCCATACTTCTGTCCACATGCTGGCTCTCCACACGTGTCTGCCCCGCGAGGTTGTTCAACCCATGAGAACGGTTCTTTAGTCAATATGCTTACATGTGCTGCAAAGTGCTCATCCTCCCATCCCGTTGGCCTTTTTGACCATCGCGGTGATACTGGGGTCAGCAAAGCTGCCCCTGCTGCTGGTTGACACTGGGTGCACCCCAAAAATGTCAAAGCTCCCCACGCTCCAGACAAAGACACCTGCAATGGTCATGCAAAGATTTGTGGGCCCCTCGAATGGTTGCTGTGATGCACAAGCGTGCTCGACGCCAAACAACGCGTGATACAAAGCACCGGCTGCCAACGTGGCGGGGAGCAGCGGCGCCATCTACGTGGCTGCTGATAAGCTCACCGTCTAGTTTGTATTGCTGGCCTGCAGGTCGCAGCATAAAGTCCAGTGTGGCCTTGTAGAACTCTCTCCTGCTCGGGATCAGCGTGGCGTGAACTTTTTCCCCAAGCCTTGTGTATCAGTTATCCGTGGCTGGGATCTAAGCAGACATTTCAGCCCTCTCTTTCCAAGGATGCATGTGCAGGCCACTTTGCAGCACACCGGGCCTGTAGCCAACCCTACCATGCATCAGACATCGGCCCAACGTATTGGCAGCGGACCTGTATGCATTGAAGTCGCTGCGCTGCCACGGGTCCACCTCCCTGCTGTACGCGCCCGGCCAGTTTCCCGAAAAGGGGTACCTGCTGACTGTCGCCAGGTCTGGGGCTGGCAGGGTGTTATACTTGAGGACACCGCCCAGGCCCTGAAAGGGGGTTAAATACAAATTTGGGGGCGCTTGGAGGGGCAGGTTTATGAAGGGCTTTCAAATACATGGGGCACTGCTGAACTGTGTGCGTGGTTGCTGCCGCTGGGACTGTACTGGATAGTGCACATGCAGGAATGCAGGAGGCGTGCAAGGTCATTGCAGGCCAACTGTGCTGGCACACAAGCAACTGCCTGTGCTGGATGCAACCTGCCTGCCAAAAGCAGGCAATGGTGTGTAGGATGGCAGGACCGCACCTGTTCCACGTACACCACAGGCTTGCCCTTCATCAAATCCTTGAGACTGATTTTAAAGAACCCGAGCTCATACGCAAGTGTCTGCAGTGGGATCTCCATGGCAGGCCAGGACAGGCCCTTGAGGGGGTAGCCAGAGCCGTAGCCGCTGACGCCGATGAAATCATTGGCATACAGTAGCTCCTGTAGGCGTGGTGTGTGCGTTTGCATGCAGGTGTGTGCGTGTGTGCGCGCGCAGATGAACATGTGCATGCAAGTGCGCGTGCAAGTGTGCGTGTGCGTGCACATGCGTGTGTGCATGTGTGGTTGTGTGCGTGCATGCGTGTGGGGTTTTGAAGGCAAGGATGGTAACATGGCACAGCTGCATCACTGGCCCAAATAATCAAGGTTGCTGCTCGTTTTGGATCTATTCCACTTAGCGGGCGTCCAGCCGAGCTGGGCGCGCCAGACCTGGTACCACAGGGCTCCCCGGGCATCTTGGATGCGCACCGAAAACCGCCTGCCCTTGACAAGGCAGCACAAGATCTTCGCCGCACCTTGAAGGGCTCTACAAAGGGCTGCGTGTACTGCTGGACCTTCTTGAACTCTGACGCAAACGACGTGTTGTACCTGAGGGGGTCGAACGACCCTGGGATGGGGTCTTGCGCCGCCACGCAGCCGCAGACCATCTGCCAGTTGATCGCTGTCGCGACTTTGACATCCTGGTGTGAAAGGACATCCAAGCACAAGTGGAAGGACATTGCACGGCCACAGCACAGTGATGCCACGCAATTGTCGTGCCGTGACCTCGTGCAGCCAGCTAGGCAGCCAGGCAACAGTCCCCGTTCAGGCAATGGGTGCAGCCGTCTCACCGGCGTCACTTGTGTCACTTGCACGAGTGACAGCTACATCCAATGTGCACCTTCGCTCACCTGCCATTTCCCCTTTTTCAGGTCTGCCCTTGTCTCTGCCAGCAAGCCCTTCCATTCATCAGCGGCCACAAAGTTGCTGAGGCCCATCTCCCCAGAGACACTGAACCACACCGCCACAGACGCGTGGGAGGGCACTGTGCAGAGGCGGAAGGGCGGCGAGGCGGCATGCAGCTAAGCACTTGCTTGGTGAGGAGCCGAGCTGTGTCCAAGGCAAAACACAAGCAGAGTGCAGGCGTCGTCGCCAGTTGCCACAGTTCCTTGCGCTCGCCCCCACTTGAAGCCAGATGCGCACCTGCATTGAGCGCTTGGACAACCGGCGTCACCATGACATCAGCGTAGCTCAGCTTTGCCTGCCCCACCTTCTGCCGCGGCCCAAACGCCAGCAGGTTGCGCCAGGTGGTCGGGCGCTGCAGCACCGGGTGCAGCGGGTCCACGTGGCCTAAAACATGGATCAGTTTGAAGCCCTGCGACACGGCGAAGGCGAAGCAGGCCTGCAGGCCCCGGCGCCAGCGCGCGACCACGTCTGGGCTCGCAGGGAGGAGCTTGCCCTGCTGATCCTTGATGGTCCAGGAATCAATGTTGTCCTTGTCTACGGCCTGGGGTTGCGATTGTACGACGATACGGGCCTCATCGTTTTTTGCTTGGGGTGCGCGCGTGGATGGCGTCAGCCCTCTGCAGCAGCATCGCCCAGTGGAAGGGCAGTACGATGGCACCCGCATGCATGGCAGGCTAGTCCAATGTGCGTTCCTTGATCTCTGTCAGATGAACGCGAGGTCGCAAGAGAAGTCAAGCCAAGTTGCACTTAGCTCCTGACAAACGCACCAATGGAAAAACGGCAAGAGCAAAAGATACTGCGTCGCTGAACTGCCGGGCCCGCTGAACTGTGTACTGGCAAACTGGCAACTGGGAGCCTGGCACGCTGCCCTCCAGATCGCCAAAGCCGTTGACCATGACTGTGGCGCCGAGCTGCTTGCGTCTGGGGGCAACAAGCATGGTATGGCAGCAAGCGCAGATGCCACTTGGTGTGAGGTTGGCCACGGCCTACGACATCCGCCCTGCTTTGTTTGGGCCATGTGGCATAAGCGGCCCCTTCAAGCATCTTCGGGCCTAGTGGTGTAGCCGATCAAGGTGCTACAAGACTTTCATCTTGCCTTGAGCTATTGAATGCCATCTGCATGCGCCCCATTGTCGCCTCTCACCCCAGGGCCGCCGCAGCCATCGCCCCCAACAAGAGCAGGCGCAGCAGCGTAGTGGCCTCCGAGAGTGCCCATGGTGTAGAGTTAGATCTCATCACAGCGTTACGTGCTTGGTTTGCCACGCACTACGGCCTGCTAAGAGTGTGGACGGGGGGCTTTCTCAAGTTCGATTCTGAGCGGTGATCTCGGCACGCGCGACGGGTGACAGCGATGAATTGCGCCTAGAGTGTGGTGAGGAGTCAATATCAATCGGCGCAATCAACGTCAAAAATCTTCCATCACCTGTGCTCAGTCCCTAACTCCTCAATCGATTACAGTGTCCTTATGCACTGCTGTGTGTCAACTTGCCAGGCACTTTGCTCAGTGGCGTTGCGGGAGGCGGAGCACAGCACTCAGCCACAAAGCAAAAAAAACACGAAAGGCAACATCCCGTTTCATGTGGGATTTGCAGGCCTGCATGATAATAGAATCACTTGGATGGCTTTACACTTCACATGCCCCTCTCCCCGTGACACATGTCAACGGTGCCCCACTCTGCTCCAATCTCCCACATGCGCACCCACGTCCACCTCACGCAGATTGTATCAAACAATAATGCGTATAATGCGACCACCAGTTGTGCGCCTTTGTTATCTCCAACCTTTTGATAGAGATCAGGGGGGCGAGCGCCGCACCTACGGCACCGTTCCGTGGTTAGATTCTGACCAACAGCAACTTGCTGTGCGCTTGCAAGTGTACCACCAGCGCGCCACAATCGAGTACGTCAAGTCCTTGCGCTATGACGCACACTGCTGCTTGTGCTGTGCTGCAGAAGCACATCTTGCCCCTTCAGAATGCGCATGTACCAGCGGCACGCACCGTCATCCCCAGGGGCGCCCCGGCGGCCACCGCGGCGCGCAGCATGTCACCTGCCAGAAGCGGAAGAGGTTACCCCCTTCTCAAAGGAATCACTTCCTGCTTGTCACGCGTCGAATACAGCCATTTGCACCACTGCCACCTCACTGTCAGTGCATGAATGCATGTCCCCGAGTATATCCAGAAACCCTGACACGTTCCTACTGCGAGTGCTGCATTCGATGGTCTCAGCTGCATGATTGTTGCTATATTCAAGTACAGTGGATTGTTGTGATTTTGTTTACGAAAATCTGGCGGTTGCTTGGGTTATGCGCATACATCAAAGGACCCACGTGCGCACTCGTACGTCGACACATCAACTCTTGATTGAAGTCGCTGGTGCCACACACTCCAGCCCTGACGCAGATAACGGCAGCTTTTAAAGCAGAGCAAAACTCCATTTCTCATGGGGCGCTAGCAGCAAAGCGCAGCGTGCGATGGCAATCACGCCGTGGTGCGGGCAACTCTCGACTCAACTGTGACACATGGGGCTTCAGCCAGGGCGCTAGTACAATGGCCGCAGAGGGCATGCGCGAATGAGGACTTCAGGGTCAATGCACCCGAAATCTGAGAGCTGCCACTGAGCCACGCCGAGCTGCGTCAGGACAGCCAGTCCACGGCTGTGCCAAGGGCGGGCCAGCTTATCCCTGCGCGATCAATGGCAACTGGGGAGCAGCTGGGCAGCACGTGCTCAGGGCTGAGGTTGGTTTCCAGGCCTTTAGTAGGGGGGCAGGGGGCGGATCTCCTTCTGGCCCCAGTAGCACAGCTTGCCGCCGACATCCAGGTGGCCCTGCGGCATCAGCAGGCGGGGCCGCCGCAATGTGGCGGTTCGGGGGGCAAGAGCGGGACGCCAGGTCGGTTTGTGCACAGAGGGAGGTGCGCCGCGGCTTCGCAACGCTGGCAGGGACGCGGCGGCTCCCGCCGGCTGCAAGCAAGAGCCTGCCGGCAGCCAGCCGTACGAGCTGAGCATGCTTGGGCGGGGCTGCGCCGCCCGATGCCTGTGGCTTTGAGCAGCGGGTGCGTGTTGCGGTTCGAGTCGCCCAGCCTGAGGCTGCGCCGCCCACCTCGACCTTGACGTCGCCCTTCACGAACGCGTTGGAGGTGACGCAGACGTTGCCGCGGATGAACACGTTGCCCAGCACGATGGCGCTGCCTGCAGTGTGGTGGTCGCGGCAGGGCCGGGTGGCTGGGGTGTGCCGTGTCGTGTGAAACTTTTGGGGCTCAGGCATGCACGCCGCAACGGTTGCCGAGCATGCAAAAGTCAAGAGCACAACGCAGGCAGTGGTGGCGCAGCCCCCATGCTTGCCAACGATGGGAGTGGGTTGCTCAGCAGCGCTCCACGTGCGTGTGCATGCACACGCAAGACGCCCCTTGTTTGGGGCGCGCTGAGCCCTGATTGCAAACGTGGCATTAGAACTCCATTCCCCACTTCGCCCCCCTGCCACCCTCGCACGTGCTCATCCTACCCCCACCCACAAGAAATGAAAACGCACCCGTGATGCAAGTGCCGTTGACTGTCTGACCGTCCTCCCCGTCAATGATCACGTCGCCAAAGATCAGCGTATTGCCTGCAGCAGGGGGCAAAATGGCTCGATGTGTGGAGATCATGCAAGGAAACCACTGGCGCAGTCCAAGGCGGCACGCATGTGGGACTCGGCGGATCACGGTCGCTGCGGGCACACGTTTGGCCAAACGAACTTCTCCATACGCACACACCATTGGAGGTGAGCAGCGCGTGTTGGGCACGGGCAAGGGTGCAAATGCCGGGCGCAACAGTGCTTGTGATTGCAGAGCGTGTGTGCGTGCTTGCTTGCACCTGTGATGCAGGTGCCGCCCGCCGTGATGCGGACATCCCCCAGGACCGCGATGTCCGAGGTTATGCACACACCCTGGCCGTCAATCTGAGGTTCAGTGAGCCCCGGGGGCAGGAGGCGTTGTGACACACAGCAACAAAGGGTCGTCGACAACAGAGGTCGGATTCGCAGGCAGCCAGGGGGTGAAGCTGTTTGCAAAGCACGTCAGAAGCCTCGCGTTGGAGGGTAGCGGCTGGCGGCTGGCATTGTGGGACGCACGCAGGCGATGCTGCGGCAAGTTTTGACGGTTCTTGGGTTCGGTAGTCTTCGACAGCTGCGCACCGTGACGTCTTCGGGAATGACCTTAGCGTACTGCTTGCTGATGGCTTCCGGGACGTCGAACCTCTTCTTCTTGCCATCCTGATGGGCACCGAGGCATGGACGAGGTTGACGAGGTGGTGTTGGCGGAGCAACGCTGCTAGCATCGCCGAGGTGGTTAGGGTTGCAGCTTGGCCTCTCGTTGAGCGCCGGCCGAGCGCGCCCAGCGCGCATAACATGGCTTGATGCCCTAGAAGCTAAGCTGCCAAGGCGTGGCAGAGCAAGCAGCTTGATCCAGCGCAGATGCTCCCGCCCATTGACAGGGGCGAGAATCGGCCAAGTGCATTGCTGCGGTACCCATGTCTGGTGCACGCCGTGCAGGCAGCAGGGTGCAGTGACTTTGCAAACAACAACTTAATCAATTGGTGAGGGGCCGGGTGAATTTATTTCACACCTTCGAGATGACCTGGATGGTGGCCAGCGCAGCGAAGTCCTCGAAAGAAACCACCTGCTCCTCGACGGGCTGCGAGCCACGGAAGCAGCAAAGCAGCCGGCGGATGAAATTCAGCGCCATTGCGACGGTGACCTGGTGGGTAGCAGTCGTGCTGATCTGTCACAAATTGAGATCTCGCGGGACAAGGTTGGCTTGTCTCTGTAGCGCTGCAAGTTCACAGTTGATACCACAATATGCCAGCACCGCACATGTATGATACATCCGGCCCGAGTCAGTTTGGCAGGCGGCGCCTCAGCCAATAGTGTGCATACTCTGGTGTGCGGCCGCCAGGATCCGGTGTTCAGCAGCCGCCAGCACATCCATTGGGCTTTGTTTTGCCATCCACTGTTGCCAGCAACTTGAGGAGGGCGACGCAGCACAGTTGCGGGCCGTCCACACTATTTCGCAGCGCGCGCCACGCTGGCAGCCCCGGGAATGGAGATGCAGCTGCGCTCGCTCTTTCTGCTGCTGGCCGCCTGCTGGGCCACGTGTGCCCTAGGCGCACAGCAGCAGCTGAAAGAAAACCAGAGGGCCTGCGTGGAAGGCGTGCCTGGCCCGGTGCGGAGTAGACGGGGGGCCCGGGGTAGCACTGGGTGCCCCAAGTTCGCAATGCGGGGGCGGGGGTGTCAAATTAAAGTGCGCCGCGCAGGCTGCTGTGGCAGCTGCGCGCGCGCAACGGGAGTAGCCGCCGTATTGGCAAGGGGCCGACGCGGCTGCGCGTGCCGAAGGCATCTGGCCGGGCCAGCCGAACGCAGCGTGCCTGTGCACCAAGCCGGGCCACAACCACAGCAGAGCCGGGGCCGCGCCCAAACTCAGCCGCCGTGTCCATCAACCGCTTACAAAACATGATGCACTGAATGTTCCACTGGTCTGGTGGAAACGGCCTCCAAATTCCAGGTGGCCAAGCTGAAGGTCCGCGCGCGGGGCCAGACGGCGATCAGCTACACGTGGTATGCCCCCAGGGGCGACAGGCGCCGCGGCGAGTGAGTGCGCGGGCCCCGTCGGGAGGAAGGCGCGGGGAGGGAGGGAGGGAGGGAGGCGGCGCGGCACGCTGTTGTTTGGTGCACAGGGTGCTGCATGCGGCTGCGGCGACGCGCGGCGCAGCCAGCTGGGGAACGGGGTCCGCTCTGAGGCTCAAGCCCACATTTGTGGCCCCCAGGGCGGCTGCCTGCAGCGCGGGGCAGCGGCAGCTGTCGTCTAGTGTTTACCTTATCGAAGGCATCATCTGGGCCATGGCAATTGTATATCATAATTCTTACCCCTGCATGCACGACGGGACCCCCCGCAGCACCTGCATTGATTACTACGAGAGGTCTGTCGTGGAGGCCGGCGCGTCCGAGGCGGTGCACGCGACCTCGGAGCCGCTTACGCCCAGCGAGCGCGACTCTCAATTCCTGGTGGGCTGGCGGCTGGCGGGGGGGGCTGCCAGCTAGTGGGTGTGGGAGGGGACGAAAGCCGGCCCAGGCGGCCGGTCGAAGGCTGCACGGTTTGTGGGTGCTGGGCGTGGCTTGGCGCCGCCAGAAGGGGGCGGCCCGCGCCCTGCCCGAGCCAGGGCATCAGCGGCGGCGGCGCCGGCGGCCGGGCGCCAGCGTCTTTGTGGGGCTTGAGGATGGCAGGCGGCGCGTGGTTGGAAACGCCCGGCGTGCGCTGTGCCCTGCAGCCGCCGGCGGGGGTGATGAGGAGGTCTGTCTACTGGCCAACACTGGCGCGGCTCTCCCAACGCCGCTGCAAGAGATCGATGCGAAAGCGACGCGCGTTCGCTGCCGTGCCGCTGCACGGTGATCTGCACATCTGGAGCTTTAGAAGCGCATGCATGTGGTCCAATTGGAATGCAAACTTTGTTTTTGGCCCGCGGCAACTGCGGAGCAAACCCAAAACGCGTCTACTACTTGCGCCTCTCCCGGCACTCTCATCGCGCAGCCCCGCACGCACACCTTCCCTCCATAATGATACCACGTGCCAAGAGCATGCACTCACTCCAGCACGACCGTCCGGGCTGTTTGGACTGTCTGGACTGCTCATTGCAGGAGGGCTGGGAGGACCTGAAGCCGGCCACCAACTACCGCGTCACAGTCCGCGCCATCAACGCCAAGTACGGCCCCGGCCCCGCGACCACCCAGCCCGTCCGCACCCGCGGCAACCACGACGACAGCCACCCGCCGGGCGCGGTGCTGGACTTTGACGTGTCGCAGTCCGGGACGAGCCTGGTGGTGGCGTGGAGCCCGCCGCAGTCCGGGGGGTGGGCGAGCAGCTACGAGGTTCTTGTGGCGGACTCGAACGGGCGGCGGCTGTTTGACAACACGGTGGAGGAATCCAAGGTGGGTGGGGTGAGAGTGGACATGTGTGCGTGCGTGCGTGTGAGTGTGGCTTGTGTACGTGCACGCTATCTTGTGTGTTTGACAGGGGTTGTGTGGATTGTGTGGTTGCGGGGATGTTGGAGCATGCGAGCATTTGCCTCATACGCCCACTCTGTGCATAGGATGAGAGGCAGAGCGCCATTCAGACACCATTGTGAGTTTGTGTGCCGCCGACGGTTGAATTGCTTCATATGTCCAGCACTAGCCCCCCACAGACTGAATCACACCCTTCCCCCCCTCACCACCCGCGCCTGCACACCAACCTGCGCCCGTTTACCCCAACCACCCAGGTGGTGGTCACCAGCGGCGTGCGCGCCGCAACGCGCTACGAAATCCTGGTGGCGGCCGTCAACCACGCCGGCCGCGGCCCCATGAGCCGCGTCTACTTCACCACCGCCGCCGCCGCCGCCGCTGCTGCGCCGGCGCCGGCCGTTGCCCAGGAGTGACGCCAGGGTCTGGCTGGCGGCGTCGCAGGCGCGGCGCCGGCAGGATGGTGCCGCGGGCGCGTGCGCCGCTGGGAGCGTGGGGCCGCTTCATGTTGGTTGCCGCCGCCATTTTTTTCTGAGGTTTGTCCTGGTCCAGCCACAAGGCTGCCTCCCCGAGTTTGAGCCAGCTGCAGCGTGGGACAGGTTGCCAGTGGTAAGTGGGCGGCGCAGCGTGTGGCGCTGGGCCGCGCAGAGCAGCGCCGTGCTCAAGCGCACGCAACGTGCCGCGCCGGCCGCTGCGGCCGCGCTGGCACGCCAGCCGCTGCGTGGCAACGGGCGGCGCCGCGTCCCCCCGCTGAAGGTCAGCGAACGGGACCCCTGGCCGGCGTGGTCAACGCCTGCCATCAGGTCTGCTCTTTTGCACAGCTTCGTCTCTTTGGTGCCCGTTCTGCCGCCAGCCCAAGTGCTGGCTGCTTTGGGGGCCCCTCCTTCGACAACTGCCGCGCCAACCCTCTCGGCGCGAGTTCACTTATGGTAACTTGGGAAAAGATAGAAGGCGTGCTGTCGCAGTGACGCTGGTCGGCCTGGCTCAGCCCCTGGCTTTGGCGGTTTTCTATTGACACCCAGCAGGCCTGGCAAGGGGCAAACATACAGGCAGCCAAGCTCGAGTGCAGTAACACGGCAGTATCTCACTCAAACCTCGGCCCTCAACCGGGCGCGCCTCAGCCGCCACTCAGGACGCGCCTGGCTGGTCCAGCTGTTGGTTAGGCCGCGGTGCAATTGATCGTTGTGTCATGTTACACACCAGCATGGTACACCATTCGTTGCTGGGGCAAGCGGGCGCGAGGCGCCAAAGGCAAGGCAGTGCAAAGGGACGTGTGCGCCACCGCGGGCTGCCTTTACGGCGCCACGCCTTGCGCATCCGTCAGCGTCGAGTGCACGGCCTGCTGTATGATGCTTCTATTGGGTCAAAATGTGAGGTGTTGCGCTGTGTGCTGCTTGCTCGCGGATGCAGGGGGCAGCCCAAAGAGGCAGGACGCTGCCAGGTCGCATCCGGCGCCACCTGCACCGAGGCCGGCTTCGCCCATGTGAAGTGCAAAAAAGCCACACGGATGACGCCTGTCGCCGCCGGATGCAGCATGCGTACTTGGCCAGACGCAGGATTCGTCACTGGGTTGCTGCGCTAGAGCGCTGAGGCGGCTGCGGGCAAGCAAGTGCGTGTCGTGTGGGCGCGGATGAGGCCAGCGCGCTGCGTGTGCTGGGGTGAGTGCATGTCGGCGGAGGCGCGGGAGCCGAGAAGCGGCCCTGCGCGACCCAGATATCGCCAACGCTGTGCGTTGGGCGGGAGCATAACACATGCCGAGCAACCGGATACAAAGGTACACCTGTGGTTGCTGGGTGCGCGTCATTGTTTGGGCGCGTGGGTGGAGGGCGAGCCATGGCGTCAAGGGGCAGTGCAGATCATGGCCGCGGCAAGCCTGGCCCTTCCTCCTCACGTTGGCAAGCAGGGGGCCGGCTGCAGCGGGCGATGGCAAACCGCAATGGGTTGCATCGATTGGCGGCGCTGGATTCGTGCATAAGGGGCGAGCGGAGGGCGGGGTCAGCCGCCGCGGGCGAGCGCGACTGCAGCCGCGGCGCGTCCAGCCGCGCATGGTGTGAAACATGGGGGGGTACATGGCGCAGCTGACGCAGGAAAGCAACAAGCCAAAGAAAACAGAGGGGTTCTTATCCACGTTGCCATGTTGCAGGCACGCTATGACGCAGAGGCTCTGGCGGCGCATCAATAGCGCCGCCGAGGAGCGGTCCAAATATGCCAAAGCCGACGTGCATGCAGGCGCAGGCTGCCTGGCACGACAGCGAGATTCACAAGAGCACGGGTCGGCCGAAGCACAGCCGCCGCGACGGCCGCAGCGGAGCCCAGATGAAGGAGAGGGCGCCGTGGCAGCTGGCGAGCAGTGCATGCCACACAAGCGTTGTATGGGTGGCAGCTCGGGGCCAACCGGGCCGGCAGAGGCGCTAGGGATATTTTCTCCTTGCTATGAGGAGGGCACGGGCTTGCCACAGGCGCCGGGGCTGCCGTGCTGACGTGCCATGGGGTCGCGCCCACAAACTGCCCTTTAGTGCCACCAGATCGCCCAGCAGCACAAGCTGTTGCTGCCGTTTCAGCAACAGCCTGGGGCCCTGTAAGTCTGCAGGGGCGCTGCAGCCACTACCGCTGACTACAGGGGGTGGCGCCGCAGCCCGGCCGCCTCGCAGCACAGAGGGCTGCACCACGGCCGCCGGCCGCCCCGGCCACGCGGCGCTCATGCGGCGCCGCTCGCACAGAGGCCGCCCTCTATCGCCTCAATGACATGATCCATGTCGACGCTCTCCAGGCCAGGGCTGCCAGAGTGGTGGCGACCATTGACGAACTGCAGGTCAATGCAAGACAGGTACCTGTAGCTTCCCAGCAGCTCCGCCCGCGCGGTCGGCCCGCAGTGGCAGAGCTGCGACTCCACGCGGGCCGCGAGCTGGGCGAAGTCGCCAGACATGGAGGGGATCTGGAGGGAAGCTGCCGCCAGCAGGTCTGGCACCAGGGCCTGCTGGTCCAGCTTCCACAGGGCCTTCAAGGCAAGCTGCGGAAAGGCGGAGGCGTTTGGGCTGGTTTAAAAACTGAGTGGAGCAGTAGAACGAGCCAAGCCAGGCAAACCTGCATGCCGTGCTTGCACGAATGGGGGCACCACGCTGGCACGAAGTCGACGCACCCCTGCGCTGGGCCGAAGCGCTCCTGTCCGCAAACCAGGCAGGCAATCGCAAACCAGCAGGGTGCATGCGCACTCAGCGCAGTGCCACCCACCAGCACGGCCTGCATGGCGGGCAGGAACGCAGGGGTGAAGCTGATGTCATCGCCGCCGTTTGCGGCCGCTAGTTCTTGCAGCGCATCTAGCGCCAGGCCAGGCACATCCGCCTCGCGACCGTGGTCCTGGATCATCTGGTGGTGTCGGGGGTGGTGGTGGTGGTGGTGGTGGTGGTGGTGGTGGTGGTGGTGGTGGTGCGCTCAGATGGGGGAGTAAGTGAATGGTTCAGATGGGCCGAGAAGTATTAAGGCTGGTGAAACAAGGGCGACCACCCGCGGGAGGAGCCGAATTGCATGGCTTGTGTGGCCGCACCCGCCGCTACTGAGCTCAGCAGGTGAGCCGGTTCCGGGTTTTCCGCAAGCTGAGGGGTCCCGCCGCCGCGGCTGGGGCGCCCCGCGGCTGGGGCGCCTGCTCGGTCCCCGCTGCCGACGGCCCCCTCTCAGGAGAGCCGCACCAGGTTGCGCAGCAGCATCACGCGCGGCAGCGCCTCGCGGGGCCGCATCTCAACGGCCTGATGCAGCGCGCGCTCGCCGTGCAGCAGCGCCGCCTGCCGCGGGGCGCTGTTAGGAGGGCTCCTGGGGACCGCGGGCGCGGGCGGGGCGAAGCGAGGGGGGGCGGTTGTCAGTGACGTCATTCGGTGCTCGCCACCGCCGCGACGCGCAGACGTATCAGGAATGCAGCCAACGGCGCTGGAATAGAGCAAACGAGGCGCGGGTGCCTGTGCCACATGCGAGGGCGGCGGGCGCCCCAGCGGCTGCACAGGGGCGCGGCTGCCGCGGGGCGCTGCGGCTGGTGTGGGCGGCCCTCACCCTGGCGGCGCCCTGAACGTGTGCTCCTCCGCCAGCTGGCATTTTGAAATGCGGAGTTGGCACAAGCAAGGATGAGGAATGTTGTACACAGGCCTGGCCGCAGTGACGAAGTCACAATCGCGTCGCTCCCGGGGCCGGCAGCAGCGCCGCAGTCCGCTGGGCCCGGCTCGAATTAGCCCCGCCTGGCCTGCTCAGCGGGGCTGACAGCCAGGTGGCGCCATGCACGCGCGCCGCCGCTCCCTTGCTGAGAGGGGTTCGCCACAACCATTTCGCACCTGCATGAGGCTCTGATACACCGCATCGTCGCCAAGCAGCCGCCCCGCCGCCGCATCTCCAGCCCAGCGTGCAGGAGCTGGCCGCTGCCGCCGCTGCTGGGCTGCAGACACTCCGAGCTGCGCCCTGCAGGCTACCCGGCATCTTGTATTATTGTTAATAACCCGTGTGCAGGGGCGATGGGCGAGCGGAGGCATCCTACAAGCTGTACTTGGCGCCCGACGGGTTTGAGACGAGTCTGACAGAGTCACTAAGGCCTTTTGAGAGCGGATTTGAATATGTTGGTGGTGCACTTGACAAAAATGCAAGGCGAGAGTGTAAGAAATCGCCAAAAATTGCGTTCGTCTTGTGTCACTGCATGCTGCCGGGCAGCCGCTGGGCCGCGTGGCGAAGCTGCAGGGCCCTCCGATTGTACGTAAATATCACTAAGATAGGCTTCGGGGAGGTTGGAGTCAAATTTCCATCGCTGCTCGAGCAAACCGCCGCTGCCCACCTGCCTCTGCGCTCTTGCATGAGTGCAGATCGCACTGCTCAGAACTTCGGCGCCGGCTATCCTCGCCATTTCAAACAAGGCGTTTCAGTGCCACAGATCACAAAAATTTGCGTACGGAAGCGCCATGTAGGCAGGGACGAGGCCAAGGTCAAGCACTTTGACCACAAGCATCCATTTCATGACCAGCGAGGACGTGCCAATTGCAGTCAGCCAGAGGTTGGGACAACCGCACTGAGACCCTCATGACCTGAGAAGCTGAGTTACAGGGCCGCCCAACGCACAATGGGCGGCAGGGTGCCCCCACAAGAGGGGCGCGAGGGATGGAGGACGCGGCGCCGCGGGGCAATGGGCGGGGCGCCATGCCTGATCCTCGCCACCGCAAAGGGCAGTAAAGGGAGGAGGGAGGCCGTGCAGCCGAGGGCCGAGAATGGGAGCCCGGGTTTCACAATGCAGGGACCCCGCGAAAGCGGAGCGAGGCATGACTGCCAGGCGCAAGCCAGGAACCATGTGGGCGCGATCGGGGAGCGGCTGGGGTCACCGCGCCATCGGCGCGGTTGGGTGCTTGTTGCTGTGCTGTGCGTTTTCCTGCATGTGCTGGGAGCGTGTGCATTTGGGGATGCCAAGGAGCTTGATCCGGGAGGGGTGCGGTGCCCCCGGTGTTGATAGGAATGGAGGCGACACACCCACGATCTAGGCGGTTCAGAAGGAAAAAGAATCTGGAGTCTCGCTCACCCATCAGGCACAGCCATCATTAAGCCCCGCGCCTGCGTGAAGTCGCCTGGCGTGTGAAGGCACAGACGACACGCAGCCACATTGGGGCAGCCACTGCCGCGGCGAGGCCGGCACCGCTGTCGCAGTCGCCGCCGCCCCTGCCGCCGCCAAACGTAGCAGCGACCGCAGGCGGCGCAGCGACGCGCGTGGGACTGGCGCGCCCGCAAGGGGACAATACGCAGGGGGTGCAATTGTACACTATCATCACCAAGTGCAGCAGCGGCAAGGGCGGACCCTGCCGCATCCAGCATCCGCACCCGCACTCGCACAACCCTGGGCCAAACGAATGGGCGGCCCAAAGACATGCTGCACGACGAGCGCGACAGAGCGCAGTGCCGGGGCCGAGGTGGCCCGACTGATGTTATCTCAAACCAAACTTCCATCAACATGCTCAACACAAGGGTCTCTAGAATCCTCCAGGGTTCGCAAACAGAATCATCGTTTTCCGGCGCTCTCTCTTGCAGCGCATAATTGGGTCACAATCGGGCCGAGGGGCCGACCAGCCAGCCGACCGTACCGCAAGGCCGCCGGCTGCAGGGCCGCACGCGCTACCCCCCGGCAACCAAGGCGCGCCGCCCAGGCCCCATCTCACAACCGCCGGCGGCGGCGCCTCACTGCTGCGGCGGCGGCAGCGCCGGCGGCTGCGGCGGCGGCGCGCCCCAGCCTAGCGGCCCCGTCGCGCGGTCAAATTCGCGCCGCAGCCGCGCGGCGAGCGCCTCAGCCTCGCCCCTCTCCAGCTGCGCATTGACGTCCTCCACCTCCAGCTTCAGGCCGGCTTCCAGCTCGTCCAGCGCCTCCCGCCGCCGCCCGAGCCGCGCGAGGGTACGGCCGACCTGGACCCTGTGGATGAGGCGGCCAGGCGCCAGGTCAGCGGCGGCGCGGAACTCGGCCAGCGCGTCGGGGAAGGTGCCGGGCGCCAGGGACGCGCCGTAGACGATCTTGATCAGCTGCCGCACCGCCCAGTTGATCTGGGCCATCTCGTAATGCCTATCGGGTGGGGGGCGCGGGGCGTGTCGTTTAGAGCGGGTGCAGGGGCGCAAGGTGCAAGGGGCCAAGCCGGGGTCTGGGGATGAACCAGACATGCCCTGGATACTGGATACCCGTCTCCATGCAGCAGCGCGCCAACACAGGGGTCCATTCACGCGAGCCGCGCCAGGCAACACTGCTTCTAGCCTTGAGGCACCCCCCCCCCAGCACATGCGCTGATTTGCACCCAGGCGTATTTAGTACGTGCATGCCAACACACTCCACCCGCTTCCCCCGCAATTCAACAACACAGCGTGCACACGATAGCACGCGCGAGCCGCCCCCACCATCTGCCCATCAGGTGGTGTGCGAGGTCGTTAGAGGGCTCCAGCGCCAGCGCAGTGACAGCGGCCTCGCGCGCCTCCTTGGCCAGGCGCACCTGTTGTGGCCAGGCGGTGGACGGCCGCGGTGAAAAAGGGGGGGAAATGGGGTGAGATTTGCTGCTTGTCAGGCTCGATGCTTGCGACCATTTAAACCAAACGGACAGCTGCGGCAGCGGCCGAGCCGGTGGGCAGCGGGCAGCAGAGGGCGCCCGCCGGTTGTCGGCCAGCAGCGAGGCGCGCAAGTGTTGTGCGGGCGAGCGAGCCGACGGGCGGGGCCGGGCGCACCTTGGTCTTGTTGTCGCTGAACAGCGCGAGGCGCCCCTTGCTGACGCACTCTGCAATGTAGCCGCCAGCAGCCTGCCAGTGGCGCAGAGCGGATCGGATCGTGCAGACCGCCGGCAAGGGATGACACGTGAGCGGGGACTCAACACGATGTAAGGCAGGGCATGGGCCGGGCCACAGGCGCGCGGGGGCGGCCGCCGCCTGGGGGCGCACCGCCGCCGCCTCGCTCCTGCACCCACGGAGCTACTGCCTGTGGGGTGCGCAACTGCACCCGGACCGCTGCCCCCCCATCCCAAAGCACACAGCTCGCTGTCAGTTCTCTGCTCCCCACCTGCGGCGCCAGCGCGACGGCGCGCTCGGCGTACTCGACGGCCTTGGTGTTGGCCTCAACCGCCTGGGCGTCGCCTGCGCCGGGCTCATAGGTGAGGTCGCTCCACTGCTTCGCGACGCGGCAGAGGTATTCCAGGCTGGCCGGCTGCAGCGCCAGGGCGGAGCTGTAGCAGGCGAGCGCCTCCCTCAGGTCAAACGCGCGCTCCGCCGCCGCGCCCTTGGCGACCCACTCACGCGCCCGCTCCGCGGCGCCCCACCCGCCGCCGCCGCGCTCGCCGCCACGCGCGTCGCCAGCGCCGCCGCGCGCGCCGCCGC